AGATTAATAGTTAATAGTATTTCAATTTAATTTAATATATCAACATGAGCAGTTTTCATCCTTCTTTCAACAATATTTTCACCTCAACAAAACCACAATAGAAACCAATAAAAAAAACCTTTAAATGGGCACTCATTAATTATTAAAACAATACAAGTGTTCAAAATATTATAGAATGCATTTTGGGAAGATTATTATAATACTATGAATATCATTAACATGTATTAGCTTAATGCAAGTCTTTCATATTTACCTGTGCTTGCTTTGGCTATTCTGTCTTGTTTTCTTAAACACGCTTTCTGCATTTTAATCAGTTTGTCACTAATTGTGTAGTTATACTGATGGGATGAAGCTTCTTGGATGTCAGTCAAACAAGCCTAGAAAATAACGTCATTTACAACACTTGTATAGAATCCTTAAACAAATCTCGGAAAGCATGTCCTTTGAGATTATCAAACACATGTATATCATGAACAAACATCTACTTGCAGAAACACTGTATAGAATTATGAGAAAAGAAAGAAATGATTAATTAAAAGACAAACAATGCTCATTGATTAGTGGGAACAATCGTTTTGYCATTCACATCAATCAATTCCTGTTTAGCTCAATATGTATTATTTTATTATACTAGAAACAAATTTTTGCAATTCTACAAAGTTTTGTGTTTTTTGTAAATGTCTTTACTTACTTCATATTCACCAACCATGAACAATGCCTCAGCTCGACGAGTCAATACTGAAGCAAGTGTCAGTTCACTGGTATCAGCAGAGGTCTGTCCGTTKACCTCAAGGGCAGAGGTGGGTATGGAAGTACATCTCTGATGTGGAAAGTATTGTATTCCCTACAATCATAAATATTTACTTAAAACATTGCAGCTGTCAACAAGATTTGACTCATGAGATAATGTCACTCMGTAATGATTGAAACAATAATGGGATGTTTTTTTCAAGTGCTAAAAGAAATGCATCTWAGACTGGRCTATGGCTAACGACTTCAAGAGCAAGTGCACTAGCCTGTGGCACTATGATTTTTTTCTAGCACAAAATCATTTTATTTCCACTACACAAGAATAATGAATAAAACCATTATCATTTGAAGATGTGAATCAATTCAATAAGGATTCTAGATAAGCATCAGGAGTTTTAATTGTACCTTGGAGTATAGATATACAGCTTTTCTAAACTGTTTATTATTGATACACCCCTCAGCTGCACTCAGGAAATTCTGAGCTTTCTCCAACGACTTCCCAGTTTGATTGCGTTTCTTGTTCACCACTCTGTGCACATTTTGAATCAACTCTTGCGCTTCAAAATCATGCCTGAAATGTAGGTACAATAACAAGACTGTTATAATAATGTCAAGCTGTTTTATTATAAGCTGGCCTTAGTTCAACAAAGCTTATGTTGAACAATCTTTAATTAGGATCAGAAAAGATCACATATAGGAACTCATTTGGGAAGAAAATGTATGATTTAGACRATTGATATTGGAATCTACCTATTTAGCRATTCGAAACCTATCAGMAAATMCAAARCAACTTTCTACAGTTAGTAATTTAAATTGTTATAAACAGGCTTTGTGAGRTATTGCCAAAATTGTCTGTTTACAAGCTGACTTCTTATTATCATATTAATAGCTAGATTGTTGTTCATTAGAAAATTTTTAATCCAATCACATTTTGCATTCATTTGCTAAAAATACAAAAATCTGCTTGCATTTCTGTACTTTAACTTACCCTATACATTTATCAATCAATACCATTGCAGGTATTTATAAACATTAGAATGTTTTGAAAAGAGGCAGATTATATTTTACCACATATATTAAGTGATAGCAAAAACGTGCTATATTTATCAGCCACAGGCAACCTTGTTTTAAAAACACTGACTAAATAAAACTAACTAGCATCCAAAAACTGTAAATCTTGGTATGTTACAAAACTGTTTTTGTATTCGATAGCTKACAGCTTTATGATGGTCTGAAAAAAGGACAATAAAGTTCACAAAATAACCCCAACATATCAATATCTCTTACTGAAAAAATTGTAAATGGGGAATTTAGTTACCTAAGGGAATCATTGCAAAATATTGTCCTTGAAAGGAGGTATTGTAATGACAAATGTCTTGCTTGCTAAATGGCAGTTGACAAGTATTGTACTACTTGGACACCAATTAAATGTATCTATTTAGATTCTTGTGCAATTTGCAATGGACATATGMAATGACTATGTACAAATGCAATGGTAATGTACAAAATACAATTGATACAGGGTATTTACGGCAAAATGCAAGCTAGTCAACCTGTCAAWGCAGCCATTAGGTCACTAAAAAGACTCTCCCAATATTTTTCCAAGCCAAACAAAGGGTATCATGTCAGTTGGAAGGTGCCACCCAATATCTGATAAACACAGCTACATGTATGACAGCACGCAACGCAATTCAAATATTCTAAAACACGAACATTTCCAGATGGAATTAAATACATTAGACACAATATCTCCAACATTATATTTTGGTTCTCCGCGGATAGTGTGCAGCGTTTTGCATATTTAAATTACCACCAATCGCTAAGTATTTAAATCCTGGTGTCAAAAAAATTTGCAAGTGTAATATCGAAATATTTCGAAACCTTCTAAAATGGACTACAATCAGTATTGCTTTGCAGTCGAATAGATAAATATTTGGAATTAAACTCGAAACAGAAACTCACTTCAATAATGAAGGCTCTTTCGCTGGCTCGCACTAAAGTTGAGCTGTCAAAAATTTTCATGACCTCAAAGATTCACCAAGGGAAAAGATATTTTTGCAAGCAAAGATATTTAAGGTTTAGTTTCACAATGTTAAGCTTAAAGGAGAAGGTAGCATGTAGCTTTACTTCATTGTCTACCTTATTATTAGAAACGTTGTACGAAAATAAACAACAAACATGTAGAGACCGCTAACACTCCCTGCGCCGGTCTCGATTGCGGTAGACTTCTGTCAAAAAATCCCAAAATAAACCATACAGAGAATTTTGAGGAGGGCTATGAGAAAAAGAAAAGATASAATCTGGTATCTGGGATTTCCATGAGCAGTGCTGATGCAAAGAAATATTGTTTCGTTCTGGTCTAAAAGCCAGAAAAATTACACTAGCTACTTTCTATACCTTTGCTACAGGTTTGAGAGCATATAAAAGGCAAATAATACTAAACATTACAATCACATTAGAGGCTAAGTTACCTTAAAAGAGTCCTACAGAACTTGAATCTTTCCAAATCGGTTTTGAGTTGGGCAAAATCCTTCAAATGCGGCCTGCCGAGCTGTTCAACCACGATTTTCTCCCACTCGTCTTTCAAGCTCGAAGACATTGTGTTCCCAGAGCTCCTTTGCCTTCACTTCTTAGGGTTTCACCTAGAAGTAAAGCAGAAAAGCCTTTTCCAGTGTGCATTCAATGACAACAAGAAGTTGAATGACAAAACTTGAATGATGAAATTCTGCCGCAGATTACTGAGCTCCGGAAAATCCCGACAACTATCGAGTAATTTGATTGGCTAAGAAAGTCACCCGATAACAGTAAATATATAGTAGCCAATCAGATTTGAGGTATTATGTCACCTGTCAATTAATTTGCTTCGGAGCAAGGCATTGTGTTATAGAACATACATACAGGGTTTTCCTTTTCAAATGGTCGCGTGGCGCTTTTTATCAAAACATAGTACTTCTACCCACATGGTTTTGCACWAGAGGAGTATTTTAATTGGAAGAATTGAGTCAGACCACCACAATACGACTCTAAAAAAAATCGATTTTTCTAAATTTCTAAAATGGGTAGTGTATTTTTAACACCTGGGATTATGCATCAACGTAATAGTATTTATATTTAATTTTTTCTCTTGCGCTGATGCTGCATTGATGRCATATATATTGCTTCAAAGCTATTTTATAACCAATATCAAACATCCCTGTYACAGTATATCTTTGCCATTTAATACTTTCGAACTTTGAATTAAATTTTTTCATATCCATATCAGAGAGAGCTAAGTCTACAATGACGTCATGTAGTGTAAAGTGACGTATACTTCACTTATATAGACTGATCAATCGTGCAACTCAACACGAATACCAAAATATTTCTCAGATTTTTGGAATGATTGGGAAAATACGTTTTTACAGAAGGAAAGTCTTTGCTACATTTTTAATACGACATCACTTGGCGAGATCGTTGCSTACGGACTAAAACATGTCGTTTCGCAAAGGTCGCGGCTCCATTCATWCTTTTATCCCGCTGTTCAATTTTGAAGACATATGTTCGGTAACTGGCCAAAGGGTAGTCGGATTACGAAACGTTTAAAAAGACGTATGTATCCGTTTTACCGTCTGAGTTAGCATTCGCATTGGATTATGGTCTAGATGTTTGTACTAAAACTACTTGTAGACCACAATGCACCATGATTTTTTCTGTATTTCATCAAAGGYAAARCTATTCGCAAAATAAAGTTTTTTCTTTGTTAGGTGGATATTTTGTTTTTCCAGCCGGGTCTGTTCAACAGTTCAAGGTTCCGTACATAGTATCTCACGCAAACATAGMCTGCTGCTAGAACACAGGGCAAAATCACGACATCGAAGTTTGATTRACATTTGCAGTCAACTACGTRAGTCGAAATATAAACTTGATTTTGATGGCATTTAAAATTTGCTTGATGTCGTTATGACCTATAAAATAATAGGCCTATAATTTTAGATTCTTCATGGGACATAATACACCTTTACGTTATGACCTTGTACAATGTAAGAGAGGGTCGTGAAATCGAATGAYGACTATCATAAAATTCCCGCCAATTGATGTATAATGGTTATATCAATGCTCAAAGAATACTATATTAAAATTTATGTTGATGTTATTGCGAAGAAAAGACACAGCATATAGCACTGAATAGCAGCAAGTACAGAAAGTTTACTGGTAGATTCTCTTAAATTGTAACTTCTAATATAAAGCTAGAGATATTCGATGGCAAGGCTTCTAGTGATTTTGTAGCCTAGGGCGGGGAGAGGTTCGCTTGATTTTTGCCTATATTAAAGCTAGCCTATTCCAACCCAGATTCTCAAGTGGATCTGCAGCAGCATCTTACTTGGAAAAGGTTAACAATAAGATTCTGGCAACGCCATAGTTTGAACGAGCTTCTGACAGTTCTGAAGTTTCGTTGACTCAGTTTGCAAGAGTCAGTCAATAGCAATCATCCCWATATGGGGCATAACAAAGTCGTTGAAGGGTTAACTTAATGTATCTATTCCGTCAAGGTCACTTCTGTAAAAATAAACCATTTCATAAATAGCTTTGAAATGCTTTGACTCAATCACACAATCAGTGTTCGAAATCAKGTATTACTTAATGACCCTAGTGGCCAACTAGCGGATTTCCTGAGAGACCTGAGACGTAAACTGAAAAAAATGAAACATGTGAACTGATTCCATATGGGCTTACTCAGTGACGTTAGTCAACAAAATAGTACGTGAATTGAAAATGGCACTATATCGTGTTCGAGAATGAGAAAAAARTAAAAGCAATTTTTACTGTATCGGCACCTTTCCTTAGCTTGGGCTGCCTGTGTACTGGAGCAAAAGGCAATACTTAAACAAGTAAATCAGGTTGTGTATGCAAGTTTTYCTTAGTAACCTTGGCCTAAAAAATCAGGCATTGATTACGAGTACAGGAAACCCAATTTCCGAATCTTACTGGTATTATTTATAATGACAGTAATACATCCTTCCTGACATATCTACGAAAACACAGATTGCAACAAAATTAAAATTACCACGTCAATGATTCTAACAAGAATWATAATGAATGGCTTATCTCTTGAATTGACTTTCAGGTCCAACTGCTATCATTTCAATACATCTTTATAGGTTTTAAATCGCTTYGGGCAGAAAGCTATTATCATCAAGGATTATMAACGATTAAAAGGTTTACGTCTGCAGTGACGTCATGAGTGTTTGTCAACAAAACATCGAACTTTCAKTAATCTTGACAACAGAAGAAAGCCTACTTTAGGTTTATGAAAACAATAAGCGATTTGATATTGTGATCATTTTAATTGATATTTGGAACTCATCTTTTATACATGACTTTAAATGTTGCTCAAAATTTTGTAATATTAATGTTTAAGATGGTCACCGATCGAAAAAAAGGCCGGGCTATACATTTTCCATTTCAGCATAGAAGATGCAAGTTCGGGTCGAGAGCACTGATGTACAACATTCGTGGCTTTTTCTGATTAAAAAAAGTAGCTATTATTTCAAAGCAAGAAATCAAGCAATGCATTTACAAGAATCGATATWTATATCATCTTGAGGTTGCTGCTGCAAAGAAAAGGCACTTTTTCGGWCCAGTATACTGACTAGGTATAGCGCTCTGATTAGTTGGTGCGCGGTTCAACTTTTAAAGTTTGTGATCGGCCCTCGATTGAAATAAAGGAAAACGTCTGTGCATCGGCACTCTCCGAGTAGCTTATCACCATACGGTCCTCAATGCCGGTAACAAAATAATTGCGCAGCTAGTTTTGCAGACGAAATGATATTTACTTTAAGGAACAATGCCATTATCTGTCACAGCATGTCAACATGTTTAGTAAACTACAATAATGATACAGTGAAAAATCTCTGAAATTTGATAAGCATTTATCCCGACATCAACTGAGTTTGTTTAAAAGMAAGTCAACTGGTGAACTTAGGTCAATACTGACTGACTACGGTTTTTATAGCCTCCGAGAAATGCGTATTTTAGCTGTTCTGAGATATAATTAAAAGATCAGTGTTTTTTTCTATATTTTGCGCAACACTGAGAAATCGTTGTTCGCTGACAGGCACTGACATGACCAAACTCATTTGAAAGAAGAAAATGGCGAACGTCGCTGATGAGCTGATGCGTACGTTCGGAAAAGTCTCAACATTTTACTCGATTACTGCTCTATTTGCACTATCTTTTTGCTGAGCTTTCTCTTAAACTAAAACCGAAGTCAGCACTGATCTTACCTCGTAATGGTTATAGAATGTTTCCAATGTCTACTCTTCTGCGTCAGTGTGTTATCTGCTTCTAGTGACTGGTATTATACCAGCTTATGACCTTTTCGACGCGCGAGCTTCAATTCCGGAAAACAACCGGTTTGCTGGGATCAGGGAATGCTGGGTCAATCGTCCAATCACAAACYACTGTGCCCTCAAGTATATAGTATATGGATAAGACTTTGAGCTCGACTTAACACGAAGGGTTTTTTAAAATTTTTTTTCTTCTTCTTAAAATAAGCATTAACTAACCACACCGGAAAAGACCACCGTGGACCCTTTCAACGCGATTGCACACACTAGATTGCAAACTGAGAATTCTAGTTGCGCATGAGCGTGAATGAGCGCAACTTAGTAAACGAGATGTTATTAACATCATCACAAAAGCTGGAGAGTGACTAAAATGCATCTCTAAAAATACATAATGATATTGGTAGCTCACAATGATCTATGGTATACTGTGTCCAACGTGTTCTTAGCTCAACCGATGTCAGCCAATATGGGTTGTCTTGACATGCACAATTCAAGTCGGGGATTTCGTTCTTGGTTTGAGACTTCACCTGTTACCAGTTACTGACCCACAACTGAGGTGACTGAGGTCACGCAAAGGCTGTTTAAAAACATTTCAGCAAAAACAGGCCACTGCTAACATCTGTTTACTTTTGAATGTTCCATTATAAGTCATAGTATAGGTGAAAGTTGAGTAAGTTCAAAAGTCATTCTCATTCTTTAATATAATGTTTGCATGGGAACTCGATTCAAGTCAAGTACAGTAAGTTATCTTTTCATTTGCATGTCATTTTTGCTGTACTGAATAAAATTTAAGAGTTATAACTGGCTTAGGATTTGTAGGAGAGGGGGGAGGAGATCGATTGGTTCGGAC